AAGTTTTAAAAATAAAAAAATTAAATATAACACACAAATCACCAAGGCTCCAGACGCTCAGCCGCCTAGCAGCAGGCGCCTTCTGCAACACTGTGTGGGTGAAACTGTAGACCTGTTCTTTTATTATGCGGAAATGCTTGCCAATTTCCCAAAAAAAATAAAAAAATAAAAAAATAAATGTAATCTGCTACAACAATGAATGAAACGGCCCCCATTGTGTCCCTTTGCTAATCTTCTATAACATAAAAAGTTAAAAATAACTAAGTCTTAAGATTGATTATATTCAACTAAATTTGTGAATTATTCAGGAATAACTATAACCATCTCCCCCTTTTCCCCTAATCTAAAAGAAAAGTATCAATCTTAGGGAATGCAGATTCCTAGTTTCATAAATAATGACCAAGTGACAGTCATTACTTCTGACCAAACATAAACTTTATGGTCAGAGATGGAAGTTGAGTTGGTGCTTCAATGTTTTTGGTAGAATCAAAAGCCTGAAATCAGATTTCTTCCCAATAGCTTTTCATGATAAACAATCCATTTGGCACTTGGAAATTGTCAGCCTCCTAGCAGAGGCACAGATTGAGGGTATGGGCTAAACTTCCAGGTACATGTCTCACCTTTCCAGTATCCAGCAAGCTAATTTCTCAACAAGCTGCTAGGATAGAGCTCATTCTAGACTGTATATTGGTAGGGGAAAGCTGACATAGAGGCGATGATGCTAAATCAAATTGCGGTACTATTGAGTGCGCAAGTTTATAATTCACAGCTCATGCTTCTGCTTAAAGCAAATTTCATGATTTAGTTCAGTTGAAAGCAAAATAAGGTTACATAAAAGTTTATAACTTTTACGAGCATCATCTTAAAACCAATCGACGATAAATGGTGAAGCTCATATTGTATTTAAGTCCACAGGACTTTGCTTAATTGACCAAAGTGGGATTTCCCACCTGACAACTTCCATGGAACTAAACATCAGAAGAGGTAGCTGCCAATGGAAGCTTAATTAGAGGTATGGATAATGCCATTTTATCCTTAAAGAAATGACCCTTTATTTAGCTTTCAAAGAAACGGCCCTTTATTTAGCTTTCAAAGAAACAAGAAGAAAATGATAGACATCATAGCATGTGCTCTCTTCCACGATCTCTCCATTTCCCTTCTCTTAAACTTCTTTCCGAACAAAATTCTTGCGTACCAGTCTAATGGCCAAAATCTTTGATTTAATAGAAATCATTTTCAGTGAATTATGTCTTCAAATTTCATGGATCTCATTTCTCCTTCTTTCAAATTGCCCTGTTCAAAAAAAAAAAAAAAATTCCAACAGTATTAATTCAAAGTTTGGGGAAAAATTACGAGACTGAAATGTTTAACAAAATTTAACCTCAATCAATTAGCATCATCAATTCATGGCATGTTACCAAGAACATGACTAATGAAATCTTGGAGCGAGGAGTACGAAGAACCGCCTCCTTTGACTGAGGCTTTTCTACTCTTTTCACTCATCACCTTCACCATCTTCCTCACATCACTTTCTGGCTCCATTAGTCCTACCATCCCTCTCTTTATCTCTTCTGCAGTCACGATTGGTGGTTCAATCTCTAACCTAAAATCCCTGTTGTAATCCATCTTAATCTCCACTGCTAATCCTAACTCCTTAACCAATTGGAATGCATTGAATTGTTGTTCTGAAAATAGTGGCCACGCCGCAATTGGAACACCAAACCATATGCTCTCAAGAGTAGAATTCCAACCGCAATGCGATACAAATCCTCCGATTGCAGGGTGGGCCAGAACACTCACTTGTGGGGCCCATCCAATCACCTTTCCAATCTCAACCGTTCGATCTAAAAACCCTTCTGGCAAAACCTCCTCCAAATTTGAATAATCGGTTGGTGATGATATGGTGCCCTTCGGTTGGGGTTTGCGTAAGGACCATAAGAATCGATGTCCGCTCTGTTCCAATGCACATGCGATCTCTTGCACCTGATCTTCACCAAAGCTTCCCATGCTCCCGAAGCATAGGAATGCAACTGATGATGGAGGTTGATCGTCAAGCCATTGCATGACATCGAACTCACCCGAACAGGACTGATCATGGCCGTCGCCTTTCAGATTCAATATGGGTCCCACAGGAAAAATCGGTGGAATATTCTCAGCATGAGAGAGGGATTTGAGCGCGTGTGGTTCAATCTCCACGAAGGAATTTACCATGATACCCTTGCTCTCTCTAAATCTCCTGGCCATCTTGCGGACATCGGGAATCAAGTCTCTATGTATGACAAAAGTAGGCAAGGCCTTGGCCGGAAGTGGGTTGACGAAACCAGGGAAGGGCAACTCAGAATCCGAGCCGTTGAGCTCGGAAACGTCCATGTTTTGCTCGTCCTGCAGAGTCTGCAAATAGAACAAGAGACCAAGAAAAGCGACATTTGAGGTGAAGAACACGTAACTAGGCACGCCGAGTTCGGTAGCCAAATCCATCATCGACGTGCAGAACATGTCGACAACGAAGCCGGTAAGTACTGATTCATCGGAACGTGTGAGAACGGCTTCTTTGACTAGGGGCTTATGACTCTCGATGTAAGTAATGAAGAAGTTGGCGGGTGGGATGTTCGCGAGCTCATCTTTAGGAGGCTGGGGGAGGTCAATGAATCTGATGCTGTTGGAGAAGGATGTGGTGGCGCTTACGGATCGGACATAGCCAGTGACCTTGG